AAACATGCACTTCTGGCAGACCTTTCTCATGTTGCTTCCAACTGGTCAAGATAATTGACGTGAGTCAAAAGCTTATCCTTCCACATGGCAAACCCTTTGCCATTAAAGCGCTCAAGGCCGCTCGTGTTTCTTCCTTCTGCGGCCATAGACTTCGTTGTTGTATTTGAATTATTAGGCTGTGTAGTCGCCGTCAGTTCGGAAAGTGAGATGGTCTCAAACCATCTCTTCCATCATATCCTTCGGCTTTTCCTTTGATTGGGCGCACTGGCCTCTTTCTCCTTTGGTTGGAAGTGGTGACTGCAATAAATAGCCAATTATATGAATTAAGCAGCTTAATAATCTATCACAGTCCTTTGTCAGCCACAGCATACAAACTTATAGACGTTGTGGCGTGGGACGTATACTTCCTCATTCGCACGTAGCTCGCCTCTAAGCGTTTATCGTATCGCTCCCAATCGCATGGCGGGCCCAAGCAACACGAGCACTGATCATCCCTTCGTTCCATCATATTGGTTTGCGTTTTTCAGAAGTACCAACGGTACTAACAGGGGAGAAAATGATCGTATCCTGATGATTTGATTGGTGGTTGTCTTAAGCAAAATGGATGATCATTGGTTGGTAATTAAGGTCGACATGGAATCAAAAAGGTTAACCCTTAACCCTTTTTAATGTAAGAGAGATAGCCACTTCAATCAAATCAACCAATCAGACAATTCGGTTAAAATGGTGTTTTGAACATAATCCATCGGTTCAAACCGGACCGTCCGGATAACATGTATTATTGCTTCTTGAATTTTCTATTACTCCGGATAATTACGGTGGTCTCCCCTCGTGAGCCGCTCGTCCGCAGCTTCCGCTTCCTCCTTCGTGTACAGCAGCGATCATGATGCGCAAGGTGACCTTCGAGCTGGGCCGCTGCGTCCGCGAGACCGGCCAGGCGCTGGACCGTCTCGGCCTGCGCGTGCTGAACGACAACTCCTTCAAGGAGAAGTGTAAGACCTCGCAGCTTCCACGAATTTCAAGTTAAAATGGAGCGTCAAGCTAAATCGTTGTTTCTGGTATTTAATTTATTATGCAGTCTCGCGCCACCGCCAGGTGATGGCGCTGTACGACAAGCGGCCGAAGATCGCGCATGACGTGTGGGTGGCTCCCAACGCGACTGTCGTGGGCGACGTGGAGATCTGCAACGACGCCTCGGTCTTCTACAACGTGGTCATTCGCGGAGACCTTAACCAGGTGCGCATTGGCAACCGCACGAACGTGCAGGACCGCACTGTTATCCACACGGCCAGCTCCACTAGCCCCGGCCTGGCTCCTGGCGCTAACATTGGCAACGACGTGACTATCGGCCACGGCTGCACGCTCTACTCGTGCACGATCGAGAACAACTCTCTTATTGGCATGGGCTCCATCATCCTGGACGGCGCCCTCGTCGAGTCCAACACCATCATCGCGGCCGGCAGCGTTGTGCCTCCTGGACGTCGCATCCCGCCCGGACAGCTTTGGGCTGGTAACCCTGCCAAGTACGTGCGCGACCTGTCGGACGACGAGGTGGCCGACATCACCAAGCAGGCCAGTGAATACAAGAGCATCGCCAGCACCCACAGCGACGAGTTCCTTCCTTACGGCACGGCCTACCTGGACGCCGAGAAGATCAAGGCCGCCGGCGGCCACCTGTAGAGTGTGTCAGTCTGTCTTCCCTTCCTAGTGAGAGGGAGAGCTCGCTGTATGCATTGGAAAAAAAATGATCATGCAAAAGCAAAATACAAGCCACAAACAATAGTACTGAGGGCGATGGAGCAGCTGTGCTTGGATTTATTTACTCGTCATCAGTGTGTATCCTCCTGCGTTTCTGCTTCTTCTGGCCGCGCTTCTTGAAACTCACGTTCCCGTTCGTAGTGATGTTAATCTCCTCACGAGGGGCAGTACCAGTTGATTCACTAGCAGTATCGTCAATATTCACACCTTTATAGCTGCCTCCCCACGGGTTAAATGCACCCAGAGCATTGTCACCTTGCGACGAGAAATCTTCAAGCGCATCAAGTCGCTTCTGCTCGTCGGCAGTGCGCTCCGCTTCAGCCTCCGCTTCGGCTGCACGTTTCGCTACAGCTTCGGGGCTTTCGTCGATCTGTCGCACTTCCACTGTACTCCACATGCCCATGCCGGTGGTCTCGTCGATTAATACCGATGGCTTTGAGTTTCTATCTGTCGCGTCTCCATCGTTGCGCCACTGATCCACCATTTTCTCTGCAGCTTCCAACGTCACGTTGGCTGGCAGAGGGATGCGTAACCTGTCTGCACGTACTTCATGTTCCGTCATTGGCTTGGGTTTCTCGCCATTCTTCGCGGCTTCTTCGGATGGTGGCAACATGTACATGACTTTGAACCGTCTGAAGCTCAGCTCGGTATTAGGAACTGTGTGAACGGTGGCCTGTTCCACCAGAGCGTCGACCCATTTCTCAGCCTCCTCGACCCAAATCTGGCACGCGCTTCCTGTCTCCAATTGTGATTCGTGCTTCTTGCCTTCTAAATAGACAACACCGCGTACAGCGTAGACTCCTTTGTCGTCCTCGTCTTTCTCCTCGGGCTCCTCTGGTATGATAGGAGGACGATACTGTCCACTTGAAGGTTGTTGTGGAGGTGGAGCGGTGATATTACTGTGTATCTCTCTGCGTGGTGGTGGTGGAGCACTTGCACTGCTCTGTCCTGGTCTCCGGGGTGGTGGAGGTGGTGCGTTGCTATGTCCTGGTCTAGGAGGAGGCGGTGGTGCTCGTCTGTTAGCCATATCCTGCGCATATTTGGCCTGTGCAGCCTCTTCGATCTGCTTTAGCTGGTCATTCAGCTCCTTTTGCGAGTTATTGGCCTCTGATTTGGCTTTACGCTTATGTTTGAGCGTCTCCTCGACCTTCTCCTTGTGTCTACGACCTTGCTCGTGGTGCTTAATGCTCTGCAATGATATACAGCGGTTAGTGGACGGTAGTACAGCCCATAGCGCAAGTTACAGACCCAAAAACGCACCATCTTGTCGTTCTGCATCCACGCATTGCAGTACTTGCAGTAGTGCCTCTCCTTGGACACCCAATAGTCCACCATGGCAGCCTGCTCCTCGACACCTATGTCGCTCCTCGATCAATTCACTTTTGGTCCTAAATGTGGCGGGTTTAGGTTCAAACTGCTCAAATAGTGTGGGCCACATAGATTGCGCGTGGTCCACACGTGTGGTCCACAACGAAAATGGTTGGCCATCGCCGCATTTGCCACCCCCTTCTTGCAATCTAGTCTTCAGTCGTAATTCTCTAAAGGAAGCAGCAACAATGGCAACTAAGCGTGGTACGTTCAGCAGATATACAGGAATAACTATCGACGCACAGCACAGGTCGCTTACTCGTCTCTATGGATAATCTATAGGACGTGGCGGTGCCTCTGGCAACAAGTTTCGTATGACCCTGGGTCTTCCCGTGGGTGCTGTGATGAACTGCGCCGACAATTCGGGTGCCAAGAACCTTTACATCATCGCTGTGTGCGGTATCAAGGGCCGTCTGAACCGTCTGCCCGCCGCCGGTGTGGGTGACATGGTGCTGGCCACCGTCAAGAAGGGTAAGCCGGACCTCCGTAAAAAGGTCATGCCCGCTGTGGTCATCCGTCAGCGCAAGGCCTGGCGCCGCAAGGACGGCGTGTTCCTCTACTTCGAGGACAACGCTGGTGTGATCGTCAACCCCAAGGGTGAAATGAAGGGTTCGGCCATCACGGGCCCCGTGGGCAAGGAGTGCGCCGACCTGTGGCCGCGTATCGCCTCGAACGCCGGCTCCATTGTCTAAGCTGAAGGAGATCTGGTGTCTACGACGAATGACAATTGGGAATTGTTGTTGCCATTTGTATTAGCCTACTTCTTTTTCTTTTTGCTTTTCTTGGCAGCTTTGAGTGCCGCTTCTTCTTCAGCTTTACGCCGTTCATCTTGCGCTTTGGTCTCGTCGCGGACTTCCTTCTTAAGTTGCTTGAGCAGATTCGTGGCTTCCTCCAGCAACGCAGGAGACACACCTTCCACTGAGTTGCCCGTATCCACAGCACTGGACACGAGTTGTGTGCGGTATTCCAGAGCTTGCAGCAAAGTGTCGACTGCTGTACCGTCACTGAAGACGTAGCTACGAGGAGGTGGAGGAACGTCGACTGGGGCCTTGAAGGGCAGCACACACGCCTCCAGTCGCACTTCGGCGTTCAAGCGGTCGCGTAGGGCACCGGCAGCAGTCAGCAGTTTATCGCTGACTCCACGTCGTTGCGCCTCAGCGAGACTTGCTTCAAGACGAGCGATACTTTTACTATAGCGACGAGAACCTCGCTCGATCTTCTCACAGAGAGCGTGGCATCCAAAGAGTGTGCACTCTGCTTCAGCACTCTGAATGATCTGCAATGCTACTGACAACATAACGGGGTGAACTTGCTCTCGAGTGGCATGTTGCAAGGCGCGTTTAAGTGGCTCAAGAAGCGACCGGATCCCGATGGGACGGACAGCGAGCAGAGCTTTCACTTCTTCTTGCAACGCGACGTGAGCAACGAGCTGCCAATAAGTTTGCCGTGAAACACGCAACAGTTCGCCGTCAGCAGCTTTGAGTTGCGCAGCTTCGAGTGCTGTATAAAGTGCTTCAGCATCAGTTTGAGTCAAGGTAAGTGCACTCAGGATGATCTCCGTGCTTGGCAACGATCGCTTCGTAGCTGTTCTCGACCTTTCCTCAGCATTGAAGCCGTTGTTAGGAGTAGAAGCTTCTCTGGAAGCAGGCTCGAAGCCATTCAGCGAGAGAGTCGAACTTTCGTTCAGTTGAGACTCGGATAAAGTTCCAGGTTCGCCATTTTCAGTTATTACGGCGTCACCTTCGCTTGGAAACTGGTCTCCTTCGATGTCACCGGTACCTCGCTCACTGTCGATACCTTCAGAGCCGTTCAAGACGCTCATTGAAGTTGCAGGACGACTAGCGATGCTTGGATCGAGTACAGCGAGAGTGCGGCGAATGAGTTCGAGTTTGCTGTCCAGCACATTACGGAGATCTTGTTCAGCCTTCCCCATTTCGGTGGCACATTCCTGGCAACAACGCATACTACGCGCTTGAACGAGTACAGTCGATGTGGTTTCAGACTCAGTATTCGCGTCAATTGCTGTAGGTGGCTGAGTTGGTGTGGAGGTTGATGAACAAGGTTTTGTGTCACAGAAGACATTGTGGCAATGCTGACACAAACTGGGACGACGGAGACGACTGAAGGTCTCTTTGCACCATTCGCAAGCAGTTTGTGCCTGGAAACGAGTCAATAAGCGACGACATCCAGGCTCTGTAGCCAAGTCCAGGGGACGATTTCCATACTTGTTGCGTGGTTCCACAGCTGCAGACTGAGCAAGTAGCTGCTCAACCACTTCTCGATGGCCTCCAGAGCAGGCTAAATGGAGACATCGGTTGCCAGTTGAGTCTGCAGCCTCAGGGTTATAGCCTGCAGCAAGTAAGATCGCTACTGTGTCTGCATGACCCTTATAGCACGCCCAATGCAACGGGGTGTTGCAGTTTGTCTCCTTCATGGCACTGGTGTATCCATTCGACAATTGGTACTTTCGACTCGGTGATGAGGTCTCGTACATACCATCAGCTCCAATGTCCAGGAGATACAGAAGCACGTCTTTGAAGCCGCTGTAAGCCGCAGCAGCCACCGGCGTCCAGCCACTTTTCGTGATAAATCCGACCGGCGCACCTGCACGAACGCGCTGTGTGACTGCATTCAAGTTGCCCTCACGACAGAGTTCGATGAGTTGCAATCCCGCGTCAACGTCATGAGGACTCGCGAGTTGCTGCGTTAAAGGTTCAGGTCGAATGACGATCTTCTCTTTCGGTTCATCTTCGTCTTCGAGCTCTTCGTCTTCATCCTCGTTGCGCTCAGTATGGCCGTTGCTCGTGTGGTCACCTGCACCAATTGAAGAAGCTGGCTCAGCCTTGTCCGAGCTGCTATGAGCTTCACTTGGTGCCGAGCCAGCGTCACCTGACGCCGTCATAGTGCTCAAATGTGCACTATAACCGCGTCGCTTTAGGATAAAACGGCTGACATTTTGGTCGATGGAAAGCAAAAATTAGATAAACTTTTAAAATTGCAAGCACATGAATCAACGTCACTACTGTAGAAACTTCACGATACTCCCTAAGCTTACACGCAAAAATGAAGAATACGCAGAAAACAGGTTAACCTTTCCTACCAGCTTACAATTCCACGTCGAACAGCGACGAGAACGTCGACATCCTCTGGGAGTAGCCGTAGTCCAGCGACGATACCTCATTCTTCACGCCATCAAACAAGGGTTCTTGCTTCGCTTGGAACAGCATATCGTCTGCATGATCCAGAGGTGACAGGTTGGGCCCTACGTACGCTGGTAGAACGCTGGGAGGTGCATACGTAAAGCATGTCCCCCATTCCGTGAGCACAGTAGAACGCTTGTAGACTCGAGCGACTTCGCCCAGCGGAGCACTCAGCACCAGCTCGGAGGATTCCAACCCAGTGGCAACTTGTAGCGCACCACCCCCACAAACCTCATGAAGTGAGTCATATAGCAACTCATCCAAGCCAAACGGAGGCTGCGCAGGCGACGTAGGGTCTGCTGGCAACTGGGTATTGTTCACCGAACAGGACACATCGTTGTCACTCGAAAAACAGGCTCCAACATTGTGCTGGATGGAGTGATTGAAGGCCGTCATACTCGTGCATACGTCTGTCAACCACGGTGCATTCACGCTGTTGTTGCTGCAGCTTTCCAGTCCCATCGGATCCAATATGTTGTCGATCACAGCTTGAGCGCGCATCACACTATCGTGGTACGGCGGTGTGTACAGGTCGAGAGTGTCGACACTTGACACGGCGTCAGGGGAGAGCGAGCCGTGCTCTGGTTCAGGAATAACCAGTAATGCAATACTATCAGCAACTGAAGCCATGGATTCAATAGCTTGACTCTCTGGAGGGGTGACAGGAGTCTCGATCAGAGTGGCATCGTTAACTGAAGCAGTAACCAGTCCAGCTTGTTCGCCACAGGCAGGAACATCGGCAATAGTTGACAAGCTGTTAGTTTGCTTCTTCGGACGAGACTTGCCCTTGCGCGATCTCTTCTTCTTGTAGCGTTTTGTTGTCGGGTCTCCACCATTATCACGCGCACGAGCCGCCAGCGCTTTCAGCGAAGAGTGCCAGTGGTTTTTCACGGCGTTATCCGTCCTTCCAGGTAGATGGGATGTAATCTTGGCCCAACAATTGCCGTATTGAGCTTGCATCGACAGGATGAGATCATTCTCTTCTTCTGTCCACGGCGTTTTCTTGATGGTCGGGTTCAACTGGTTGTGCCAGCTATTGCAGTCACACGGTTATACGCCAGCAACTCCATAATAAACAACTAACAGAGCTCACCGTTCGCGGCACTGCTTGCCATTTCTTCCCTTCAAATACGAGGCGATCACCGCCCACTTGCTGGCCCCGTACTTCTTCACCAACTTGAACATCAGTGCGTCTTCGTCTTGACTCCACGGCCGCTTGACCACCGTGTCAAGATCCTGCAGCTTGTTCCACCGCTTGCTACAGTCCTCAGCAGACCGACGCTCAATCCGCTGCGCAATTACCTTCCATTTCTTGCCTCCAAACTTGCACACGCCATCACGAAGTAAGGAATCCTACGTGGTATAAAAAACAGTGAGATTGGCGTTCTCGAGTCGTGAGCAAGCAAAACTCCTTACTTCTTCAGCAGTCCATTTCAATCCTTCACCGTGAGGCTGAGCACTGATGGCTGTTGCTTCTTTCTGCTGCTGCTTCTTTCTTGAGCTTTTCTTGCGCTGGTACGGAGAGTACCGCAGTTCCATCATGGTCCGCCAGTTATCTTCACTGCAAATTGACTTGTGGAGTTCGAGAAAAGCCCAGAAGGCTGGAACATTGTATGAGTTGGGGCGACATGGCGACCCCATCGCAGGTAGCGAATCTGGGACTTGCACTCAGTAAACTAGAAAAAAAAAAAGACTTACCAAAATATGCGCTTGTGCTTCAATAACGACAACGAAATCTGAGAAAGAACAAACATCTATCTCATCATCGCTTCATTTGCCAGCAGCCATTTCTGTTTCAATTTTACAGTACTCGCGTCCCAGCGTGATGAACGAGTTTTTCTTATGAAACGAAAATGTCCACCAATTTATATAAGCTTACCACGGTCTCAGTCTCAGTACCGAATAGACAGACCAGTCAAAAGAGGGTGACCGGTAACAATAAGGTCATCTTGTGAGTGACACGTGAGAAAGCGTGCCGTCACCTGCAAGCAAATCCACACGTAGTATCGAGTTAGGCCGCATATAGCACTCCAGTTGATGGCCACATATACACACCTGAGTACACCCCCAAAGCACCAGCGAACGGAGATTTTCAGTGCCATCAGCTAAGATGCCCAGCGCATCCTCTGCGATTTTCCTGCAGAACGAAATATCGAGGGTGGTCAAACTGGTTGCGCAGTGTTCGACCAAAGCCATCATAGCTGCATCTGTAGCTTGCTGTTATCATATCAAACCGTTAGAATATCACGCATTCTCAAGTCGTATGCACACAGCCTTACCGAGACGCTGGACATCTCGAGTGTTTCAAGAAACGACTTGGCTCCAAAGGCGATATGTTCGATTGCAACATCAGTCAGCCCCAAGCAGCAGCGCATGGAAACACGACGAAGGGCGTGGCCATGTTCACGAACAGGTTCAAAGCACTCGTCAGTGATGAGATGCAAGTCGGATACATCAAGGACCTTCAAACCACGACAAGCCTCCAGAATCCCCTTCACTGCAACGTTCGTTAGATGTGAGCATCTGGCCACTGAGAATTCTTCCAGGTCCGGTAGATTTTGAGCCAAAGAGACTATAAACTCGTCGGTGAGTCTCTCCATCTGATTCAGCTGCAGTTTGCGTAAATTCTTCATCGTCTTCAGCGATTCCAGGCACGAATCTCCGATCTGCGGACACTCGGACAGTGTTAATGAGTGCAAATTCTGCAGTTCACAAAAGTAATCGATCGACTTTTTGGTGATCCGCTGGTTGCACGAGATCTCAAACGCGTCTAAGGACGGAGCGCAACGTCGCACCAAAGCTTCACAGCCTGCGTCCGAGAGACGATAGCATCCCTGCACTTGCAACTGCTCGACGGCTTTCAGCGAGTCTCCCAGCTCGTCGATCACACTGTCCGAGACGCAGCGTCCACACAGCCCGAGTCTCAAGACCGTCAGAGCCGCGCAATCTTTCAGTGCACGGATCAGCGTGTCTTCGTCGATGTTAGAACAGTCGGGAATGTCGATTTCCGTGACTCCAGGGAAGATAAAGAGCGGTAGAACCTCCGGTTTAAGGCGTCTGAGCTTCACTACAGCTCTGGCCACTTGGTGACGCGCCGTGGCGTCGATATACTCGAGTGACGGCAGCTGCTCCACGTGCTCGGCCAGACTCTGCAGCGCCAAGTCCCTTAGTCTTTGTACCACGTTGTCAGCTCTTAAGACGGAGAGGCGTGCGGCGCGCTTGGGCTTCCACACGACCTTAGGGGCTTCCTCGACGGGCTGACGTCGCTTACGCGCGTCCTGCGCGGCCGAGCGGTTGTCTCTGAGCTCTCGCATAGTCGCATAGTAGCCAGGCCAGGACTCTGCTTCCTCGTTGCGAGCGGAGGCGCGTTCTCCCGTGGCAAAGTAGAGCGCGCGCTCTCTTGAGACGGCCGCTCGTCCGCGTCCCTGAGGGGCTTCGGCAGGCGCTGCGGGCTCCGGTTCTACGTTGTTTGCATCGCTCTCTTCGTGAGGAGAAGATGCAGAGGCAGGAGGAGACGGTGGAGGGGAGACGGCGCGGCGGCGAGAAGTGGCGCCACTGGAGCGCGGAGACGCGGCGTCGGAGCGAGACTTGCGCTTCATAATGCGGAATCGAGAGTGAAGATCAAAAGAGTTGAAGTGCACCTTTTCCCGCCACACAAATGACGTTCGAACAAAATCTGGCGGCAACTCGAGATGGGTACATTCTTTGTCAAAATGAATCATTACGCTACAAGTACTGTGCAACGGGCCTGCGAAGGACGAGGTCGGACGAGGTCGGCGCTGATCTTCTTCCTGCTGGTTGCGTAGGCATCTGATAGTGATGAATGCTCGAAATCGGACTGAGCAAGTTGTCCAACGCAACCGCTAGACAGCCAAGCATCACGTAGAAAAAAAAATCACTGCTCTGCAGTCAAAGAGCGAAGTTGCGCTTCGCTCTTTGACCGTTATTAATACTACTATACAAGTAAAATCACTAGTGGTGATTGTGGTGATTAACCACACACGTTTTGCTTACACCTGTTGATTAAAGCTTTCGGTGGTAAACAACACAATAAAAATCTACAACAACAATTCTTGCTCGTAAGGTTTTCTTTTATTCTCATGATAGACAGCACTGAAGCCAGCTACGACTTCACAGCCTTTCAACGAGGAGCGGGGTAAACAACTCTTCAGCTCAACAATTTCATAAATCCGCTTGCTGCGACGCAAGTTCTCGAATCACTCAAGCAACATTGAACATTGCATGAGCACAGCCATACAGGAACCACGACTTACTTGTCCACGGTGGCCATGTGCAGCACAAGGTCCACGAGACGGTTCGAGTAGCCCCACTCGTTGTCGTACCACGACACGAGCTTCACGAAGTTGTCATTCAGAGCAATGCACGCCTCCGCGTCAAAAATGCTCGAGCGCTTGTCGTGCAAGAAGTCGTTCGACACCACCTGGTCCTCCGTGTAGCCGAGGATGCCAGACAGCTCGCCCTCCGAAGCGGCCTTCACGGCAGCCTTGATAGCGTCCATCGACGCAGCCTTCTCCAGACGGCACGTCAGGTCCACCACAGACACATCCGGCGTAGGCACACGGAAGGCCATGCCCGTCAGCTTGCCGTTCAGCACCGGAAGCACCTTGCCCACAGCCTTAGCGGCACCCGTCGACGACGGGATGATGTTCTGGCCGCAGCCACGCCCACCACGCCAGTCCTTGCCTCCCTTTGCAGGGCCATCCACAGGAAGCTGCGTGGCCGTCGTCGCGTGCACAGTCGTCATCAGACCCTCCACGATGCCGAAGTTGTCGTTGATCACCTTGGCCAGAGGCGCAAGGCAGTTCGTCGTGCATGAAGCGTTCGACACCACCGGCGCCGAGCCGTCGTACTCCTTGTGGTTCACTCCCATCACGTACATGGGCGTGGAATCCTTAGGCGGGGCTGAGATCACCACCTTCTTGCAGCCACCCTCAATGTGGGCCTGGGCCTTCTCCGTCGTCGTGAACACGCCCGTCGACTCGCACACGTACGTGGCACCGGCCTTGCCCCACGGGATCTCCGACGGGTTGCGCGCGGTGAAGACGTGAATCACCTGGCCATTAATAACAAGGTTGCCGTCCTTGGTCTCCACGGTGCCGGCGAACTTGCCGTGGGTCGAGTCGTACTTGAACAGGTACGCCATGTACTCCAGGTCCATGAACGGGTCGTTGATGGCCACCACCTTGGTCTTGGGGTTCTCGATGGCGGCGCGGGCCACGAGACGGCCGATGCGGCCGAAGCCGTTGATTCCGATCTTTACCTCAGACATGATAGAAGGAAGAGTGTTGGTCTTGTGGGAGTGCTCCGAAGCCGCTGGATTGGATTATGAGAGGATTGGGGCGAAGGGAGCATTTGAAGGATGTTGAAGCTAGCGGCCTGATAAAACCTCGTTGACGTAAAAACCTCGTGGAGCAAAAATACGCGGGCCGTTACCGGTCCGTAAAAAGTAGAGTGGGATCTAATGGAAGCTGGACTCGACTTCGGATCGAATCAATCACAATGAGTATGCTCTTCAAAAGCAAGAGCTTCTTGATCTGGCACTATGTAGACGGACATCTCTCTCATTCCAGTGCAGGGCGCTCAATAGATAAGATCGGTGGAAGCGCGTAGAAAGCAATGTCACGTTCAGAACGGCGGCAATCTACAAAACAACTTGGTCTAGCAATTCCGCAGCAGTGAGTCAACGATTAACTCACTACACCCGTCTAGCTTGAACTAATCGAGCCAAAACCGGAGCTCTCGCTACTAGAATCACTACTATGTTGTAGTTGCATGGTTGTAGTAGTAAAACGTACAATTCCGAAGACACTTCAAACTTCCCAGGAGCTAGAACACTACACGACTGTGCAGAACAGCAATAGCACTGCAAAAAGAATTCGTTACCATACTAGTAGTCTACAACCTACTTGAAGCAAGGCAGCAAAAAAAATAATAAGTTCATCGCAACAAAACATAGGAAACCAGGAACTATGCGCAACTACTACCTCAAAAATTATGATTCATTGATCAAATAACTACCAAGGAATCAAACAGCCATTTCAGCCGAAAACATCTACGCTTAGTTGTCCACGGTGGCCATGTGCAGCACAAGGTCCACAAGACGGTTCGAGTAGCCCCACTCGTTGTCGTACCAAGCCACAAGCTTCACGAAGTTGTCGTTCAGAGCAATGCATGCCTCCGCGTCGAACGTGCTCGAGTGCTTGTCGTGCAAGAAGTCGTTCGACACCACCTGGTCCTCCGTGTAGCCGAGGATGCCAGACAGCTCGCCCTCCGAAGCGGCCTTCACGGCAGCC